AACCCACCTGCTGGCTTTATCAGTAGCCTTTTGTCATATACAGGCTGGAGGTGAGTGAAGCTCCAAAGTCAGGTTGGGATTACTTCTGAGCATGTCATGTGACACCCTCTCATTAAACTGTGGTTATGTGTTTCCATGGTCTTCACTTGGAGCTTCAGCCAAGATTCTGAGAAAACAGAGGAAGTCCCATTTAACATTCTCTTTCATGGGCATCATAGCTCATTGCTATTGCTTATTATTTTAGGTTTGTTCTGCCTGTCTTTCCTAGTAGATTGTGGACTCTTCTAAATCATTGGCTAGATCATAGTCTTGTCTGTCATCCCAGTGCCAATGTCAGGACTTGCTGCCTAGTAGGTATCAGTAAATAGTCATTGAATGAATGAATGAATGAAAAATAAGATACTAATTGAGGGGAATAGGGAGCTGAAGAGGCATCAAGCAAGAATTACACCTGAAGACTGTTCACCTCTTTTTTTCTCTCCAAATGAATGTGTCTGTTTCTTTTCTTGAATACTGAAAAATTCCTAATAGAAACCTAACAGTTCTATCTGGTACACAGGCAGGTGACTTTCCCTCTGTAAGCCTCTTTTTCCACATCTCTATATTGGGGGCTGTAGTGTTAGACTAGACTTACGCTCCCAAGCTTTTCCATTGCTGTGCACTCCTTTCTATCATTCTGCCATCATGTTTAGAAAGATTTTCTCTCAAAGGTCATACTCCTTCCAATCCCACTATGTCCATCAGAATTTGGGGTGGTGTCAGCTTTTATTGGGTAGTGATACCTGTATGTTAGCTATTAATTTAATTTTATTTTTCTTGTTTCAGTATTTATCTTGGTTTTGAGAAATAATCCTTAGCTAGAAAGAGCCCAATCTCCTATTGTGCAATGTGGTAAATCACAGCAACATTTTTTTTTTTTTTTGAGAGGGAGTCTCACTTTGAGAGGGAGTGCAGTGGCGTGGTCTTGGCTCACTGCAACCTCCGCCTCCTGGGTTCAAGCGATTCTCCTGCCTCAGCCTCCCGAGTAGCTGGGACTACCGGTGTGCACCACCACGCCCAGTTAATTTTTGTATTTTTAGTAGAGATGGGGTTTCACCACGTTGGCCAGGCTGGTCTCAAACTCCTGACCTCAAGTGATCCACCCACTTCAGCCTCCCAAAGTGCTGGGATTACAGGCGTGAGCCACGGTGTCCAGCCTCCCAGCAACATCTTTAAGGTAAGGACAGAATCAAGGAAGTCCAGGATATGCCAGGATGGGAGCACTGATCCTTTCATTTCAGGATTTCTGCCTAAGAATCCACAGCTCACCTTGTACACTTACAGTAATAAAGATGAACAAGAGGATTATGAGGGTGGTGGTGGTGATGATGATGATAGTAAACCACTACCACAGGTTGAGCTCTTTCTTAACTGTTGAACTTCACTGTGGACTCACTAGACATTATCTCACTTAAGCTCTGCAAAAAGCAATAAAGTAGGTATCTTTCATTCATCCCTTCATTTAGCAAAAAATGGTTCTATTCCCACTCTGTACCCAGCACAGTTCTAGGCACTGAGGATACAGCAGTGAATGAGAGAGACAAAAACCCCCACCTTCTGGAAATGGCAACCTAATGAAAAGAGAGACAACAAAGAACTATTAGGTTGGTGCAGAAGCAATTGCAGTTTTTGCCATTACTTTTGATGGTAAAAACCGCAATTACTTTTGCATAAATCTAATTTTAAAAATTAGAGTATGTCAGACAGTGTCAGTGCTAAGGAGGAAAATAAAGTACAAGTAGTGAATAGGGACTATGGGATGGTGGTGCAGGATTCGAAATAGGGTAGCCAGGAAGGGGTTTGCGAAGACAATGTTTGAACAAACTGAAAGGTGAGGGAGCGAGCTGTGCAGATGTGGGGGTCGGGGAGGACACTCTCAGAGACAGAAGAGCAGGTTCAAAGGCACTGAGACAGAAACAATCGCCTGGTGAACCCGATTTTACAGAAGAGAGATCTGAGGCTCAGAAAGGTGGAGTCACTCACCCAAACTTGCACAGCTGTAAGTGGCGGAGCTGGGATTTGAATGCCAGGCCCAACAATCCCCAAACCTGCATTTGTTTCTCATTGTCTCATATTTTTCAATTCAGACACTGAGGATGTAGGCGTTGGGGCATCAGCAGAGTGGTTAAGAGCTAGGCATGATGCGAACCAGACCTGGGTTGAGGCCTTGTGGTGCCACTTACCTACTTGGGTGGTT